AAAGCAACTCAATATTCATTTATTTATTTATATAAATGTATTATATTTTACATAAAATACAAAATATATAACAATTTTCTTTGTCATAAAATATACGTTAAGAAATATTAATGATAGTGAATGTCATTTGAATTATACTTTTTTACTAAAATTCTTATCTCATTTTTATTTTTAGTACAAATATTATTTAGAATTTAAAATTTAATCAAATAATTATTTCAAAACCTAAATACCCTTAATCTCCAACTTTTTTTCATCTATCTATCCTTTTATTTAATTTATTTTTATTCTTTTCAGAAATATTTACAGAAAAATTCATTTTAAGTCTCATGAATTATGTATACATTTATATGCATATAGTGTTCATTTGAGTTACATTTCCCAAATAATGTCACAAATTTTTATTCAACGTATTGTCGAATAAAAATATATGACATACTGTACAGTGGAGTGAAATGTATTTTCATTTGATATTTTCTTTATCTACTATTTTTTGTGCATATTTTTCATGACAAGGTTTGGCCAAAATAATTATTAATTAACAAAATAAAGAGCTATAAAAACAGTTTAATGTTTGAATACATTTACATAATTATCTGAGAATTTCTAATTTGTTTTAACTTAAACCAAAACTTTAATTATACGGAGAGAGAGAGAGAGAGAGAGAGAGAGAGAGAGAGAGAGTTTGTATAAAATATTGTTCCTGTTTTCAACGACATGTGTATATTTCAGGTTACTTTTTAAAGATCGAGAAGAATCTCATAAATATGACAAAAGAGACCAATGATAACATTCGTATGAACTGTGAATTTCGTGGCCATCCGTTGCCAACCATACGATGGCTGAAGAATGAGGCGCCAGTAGAACAGGAAAGACCTAAGATTCATATCAAACAGAAAATATTGACTTCGGGGAGAATCCGATCGCGTCTAATCATTAATCAGATCGACACCCATGACCAGGGTTACTACAAGTGCGAGGCTAGCAATGCTGCGGCCACACTGGACAGCACCGGCATACTTCTGGTTCGCGCCGGTAATACAATATACTAATTGAAATGTGTCTCAAGTATGTGTTGACTCATGTGTATTGTGTTTGCCATTTGTGGTACATTAGGGCACATCCATCCTGCCGGTGCTCCCATACCGTTACCCGATTACGCGCCTCTCTATCCAAATGTTGACTTTCCAGGACTCGGCGGAAGGTAAGCATCCATTGGATTAACTATTCATTAAGACTGCGCTCGCAATCAATTCAATCAAAACAAACAGAATTAGCGCCTGAAGTGAAGTTCCGTTTTGTTTGTGGAAACTCTTGTTTCGTGTAATTAATTACGGAACTCATTGCAAATGTATTT